CGAACTGTTATCGTCTTCGCCTGGCGGTTCCATTATTGCAGCAAGGATTTGCTCTTTGGTCTCCTTTTCTAGTTGGATACGCTGCATAAACTCTCATTAGATGAGTTACTATCGCTTAAACGGTTCGCATATCCTCGTTTGAGAGGGCGTGTCCGCGACTCCGTGGACGTAGAACACACTCGCGACGCGGCTGCACTTCTATGAACTCTTTCTGTTGAGGTAGAAACAGCAAAGCCACAGGCAGTGCAAGGAAATGCTGACGCACTCAGACTTCGGGGATAAAAATTGCCCTAGACTCACATGATCCAACAGATGGGCGCATCCGTGGCCGCGCTCATGGCTACATTTATATCCTGCAGATGGAGAAGGTGTGGCTGCGCACCCCTTTTGGCGTGGCGACAGCCTGGTGGGGTAATGCCGCTTGGAGAAAATGTGGTCATGTCTTTGTCCTTTTTGACAAGTTAGGACGACAGTGGTCTCAAATGAAATACTCTGCAAAACGTTCATACACTTACGCCATGTGCAGGTACACAGCCACACTCTCCATCCCCGAAATATGGAGTACTGATAGGAACACCTTCTCCAGCGATATGGTTTGTAAGGGGGTGGGGTCAAAAAAAGACACTTTTTTCCTTCGACTTTCGAGGCGCTATAAGTTACACTTTATTAAATTCTGATCGGACATTTCTACCACCATATTCAACAGCATATCAAATACTATTATGATACTCCGCCACAGCCTTCTGGACGAACGCCATCGAGATGTCATGCGACCGTGATTCGGTGCCTGAGTTCAGCGAGGTCAGTAATTTCACCGCCACTGTAGACCACCCTGATGAGCTCCGCTTGAGCCCGGTAATCGAGGGGCTTAGGTCAGGTGCACACTTGGATATTCCGTCTTCTTCAGGTACTCAACACCCTTCGATTCCAAGTAGGCGAGAGTTTTTCCAACGCCCTTCGTCCACGTGCTGCCAATCCTGTAGCAGTACGAAGTTTCCAAGATGGTACAATCGGCGACGTGAAGGCTGGAGATTCTCATCGGGCTGTTCGATGTAGCAGTCAGAATTCACTTCCAATCCGGGTCCACGAAGGAAATATCGATCTTTACATTCCAGGAACTTCCGGTCCATACCATCAACCCGCGCCTTGGCGACTGTGGTGAAGATGATGTCCTAGACCGTAGCGACGTTGTCGGAGCTGCTCGATGTTGGAGGTCTTCCAGATCAAGAGTACTGGTCTCCAGGTAGCTATCCATGGGTGACTCCATACAAGAAGTTTCGCAGCTGTTTGGAGGTGACGTGAATTCCATAGGCCTTCTCCAGTCAGGCTGCGATTGGAGATGGCTTCATATTTTGGTGTACATGAAGGTGATGGGCGAGAGCCTGCTCCTGCTTATCGAGGAACATCTTGGGTATCTTCCGCCCTGGTACTCGTATCCACGTCTTCTGTCTGGGCTGCGAAAACTTTACTGATATGTGACTCGGCCAAAAAGTCTTTTTTGGCCCCTCCTGTATGCATCCTGTTCTGTTGGAATCGGTCCCCCTTCTTTGTCGGAAGAGTGAACCAGTCGGAATCTGAGTATTCCTCACGAGTGTCGCATTCATGAAGCAATCGTTACATCGTGCAGGATGTGGCAGTCCACATTCACAGAGGATGTCCCATTTTCGCAACTCGAAAGCGTCATATAAAAGCACCATGGAATAGCGGAGACAAGCGGGCCGCGCCCTCGTAAGCTGAATCCATCTTCATCAATTCGCTATACAGCGGCGGTCTCGATCATTCGGAGGGGCACGCGACGCTCACCAGCGTGGAGAAGTACGATTCTCTTGTCACATACCCCGATCACTCGTA